TTTTAAGGGAGGGGGAAATCGAATTAGCTCTAAGACCAGTGAATGACGGGATTGGTAGAGAAAGGGCGGGACGGGGGGGGGGGGGGGGTGATCCATTTCCAGATGCCCAACATCCATAAGGATGTCGTAGAAGAGCGATGGTTTCGCAAGCAGGTTCGGATTAAAGCTAGTAGGGAATCTGTTAGATTTAGCTTTAAATGTTGTTGTAGCATTTTAACTGTTTTAACTAATTTTTTATGAGTTTTCAAATTGTGGGTCCATTAAAAACACTAGTAGTTTTAATGCCCCAAAATTCACCAAAAGTAAGTGTTTCGAACGGACACAAATTTTGAAAATTCATAATAAATTATTTGAAGATATGCACCTAAAATTTTTAGCTGAGTACCCCAAAATATGGAGGAAGATTATGAATTCATTATTTATTGGGCTTAAAATATAATATTTTATGAATGGTGGAAAACCTACGAGGGGCTTAATTTTTCAAGATGGCCGCCGTTGTCAAAGTTACCAAGATTTTTCCACCAATTTTTTTTTTTTTTTTTTTTTTTTGTGGAAATGCATATGCAGGATGTATCTTAATAAAGCTGTAAAGAAATAACTGTTTTCTAACGAGTATTAAAAGTTTTTTTTACCGGAGCCTACCCCTTTAAAGTGAGTTGATTAATAGACAATGATTGTGTTGCGAGAAACATCCAATGCCTGAGCTAGTGTACTAAGCTGCCTACATCAACACACAGAGAGAAAGTGGATCTCTTGATCTCGGTGCTAATGTTGGTGCTGGTTAAATCCATCATGAATTTGTTAGCTAACTTCATCATCTTGGGTACCTTCAGGGCATAAGGCAGCAACAGAACTCCGCCATGCCTAAGGCATCTCTCTGTCTTTCTGTTGCATTTCCACGTTTTTGTAGCCAGTGTTTGTTCCAGACTTTTTTCTCCGGGGGGGGGGGGAGACACTTGATATTTTCGGAGGGGGGGAAGGGGACTAAATTTTCCGGAAGGGGGGCGGACACTGATAAAAGTATGTTTTCTATATCAATTCCATTTCGTTCGGGGGGAGGGGGGTGGTAGACATCCTCCCCCTCCCCCCGAAGAGATGCCTGGATGAAACACCGTCAACGCCTACCCCACTCCGTTTTCGCATGTCTTTGGTGTACTTTTATTTATTATTTTTTTACCTTTATCGGTTTGTTTGACCATAGGTCACCTTTAGACCAACATTTTTGTCCAGTCGTCCATAGACTCACAGACTTCCAGGTGGCTGTTTAGTTCCCCTTACAATTCCTCTTGAGTTGTCTTTCCTGGCTAAATTTATGTAAAACGACAGGGGAGATGACCCAGCCTATGTCGAACTTCTACGGTTCGCTGTTTAGTTCCCCTACAATTCCTCTTGAGTTTTATTTCCTGGCTAAATTTATTTAAAACATACAGAAGGCGTCTAGAGTACCGTCACAAAAAACTTTAGAGTCATTCAACATTGCGGTTTATTAGTAAAGTAACAATGTAATAACAAATTTTATATATTTTCTTAAAGTTAAGGATCAAGGTGATTTATTTTTATTTATATCGAAATAGTCAGGGACAGCGTGGTCGGATGGTAGAGCTCACTACTGATAGTGAAAGTCTCGAGTTCGAAACCCGTGTTGACTCTGTAAGACGTCCATATGCACACCACGACTTTCGCTAGTGAAACCAAGGCGGCTGAGCATAGTGCTAGCCCACACTATCCGGCTGGATCCCTATGAAGATAATACACACATTCAAATTCCTCTAATATCTGCTTTCGTTTTCTCATTAAAAAGACGCCATAAAATATGCCACCCGTTATTACAAAAAAAAGTTCAAGTTAAAATGACAACGTTTTTAAGAATGTTATCATTTTTACTTTCTCGTATATGCGTAGTATAGAGAAAGTATTGTAATCGTGCAAAAAAAAAAATCGAGATTTTTTACAAATCTCGACGTTTTACACCTCACTGATACGGAAAAACATAATTTTGCAATCTTGTCCGTATGTCTGTGTGTGTGTGTGTCTGTGTGTTTGTGTGTCTGTGTGTAAACACGATAACTTGAGTACCGTTACAGCTAGGTTGATGAAATTTCATATATAAGTATTATATCAAAATCGTAGATCCGTATCAACTTTTGAGCGATTTCCGACAACCGGAAGTGGTACTTTTCCTACTTTGAATTTTTCAAAAGCCTATAACTTGAGTACTATTTCAGATAGATAAATGAAATTTTACATGTAAGTAAAAGATCTAATTCTCTACCTTCTGTTAAATTTTGAGTAATTTCCGTTGACCGGAAATAGTAATTTACGCTACTTCCGATTTCTCAAAAAACGCATGTAAATTTTTAAAGTACTAATAATATTGCGCACTATTATGCACATTTTGTTTCGGCGTTTGTTTGGTGCGCAATGTTTTTTTCTATGAGATTCTATTCTATTTTTACAAGCTTTTATTTAACTCACTTCCTCTGTCTGTCGTAAGTCGTCAGTCGTCAGTCTAGACGGAAACGCAGGAGTGAAAATTCGGACAGTTCTACTTGACCGATACGATTCACAGTTGGCACGTGGGTCAAGACATGAAGACAATGCAATCTGAATCTAAATTTGACTTAATTGGATGCCTAATTAATTTTTTATGAATTAATTAAAATTTGGACCGAATTAGTAGGCATGTCTAGCCAACCACACCACACGCGTCATCACCTTCAATAGCTGCGCCATCACGTAATGGCTGCGTTCAAAAACCATTGCGCGCCTACTGAACGTGATGTTCAGTAGGCGCGCAATGGTTTTTAGTCATGTAACTCTATTGTAAATAAAACATGTAAAGTACTGAAAAAAAATTCATAAAAAACGTTTTAATAACAAGCTTTTATGTAATGATGCACTAAAAAGTAGAAAATAAATTATAGACTACTATTTAAATAACTATAAAGAAAAGCGTGGGTGTCTTCCTTAACATTAGTAAAGGTATCCAATAGATACTAAAGTGACCCACGCTTTTCTTTATAGTTATTTAAATAGTAGTCTATAATTTATTTTCTACTTTTTAGTGCATCATTACATAAAAGCTTGTTATTAAAACGTTTTTTATGAATTTTTTTTAAAAGTTTAAGTAACTAAAAATCATGTCTACATTCCAAGTTATATAAGAATATTCGAGAAAGTTTAGGGGAGATCACTCCCGGTTTATTTAAGAATATTTCTATTAAGACCCACCAACCCATCATGTCGTTCCACGCGAATCCACGTGCAAATATAAAATACAAAATCATTTTTGTTTACATTTAAGGGACACAACCAGAGATACATTTTTTTTATTAACTTAATTGTGTTTATCTTTCCTGAATTATAAATTTCGTTTTTAATGTGACCCACTTATAATTATCTATATATATAATTCTCTTCTGGGAGACGCTAGAAAACAAGCTGCAAACGTGCTCCCTACCACCCCCACATGGTCTGGTGAGCTGTGGTTCACTCTAAATGTTTACAAACAGAGCCGGGTTTAGTGACGACTATTAGGGGCAGATAATTTAGTTTGAAACGATTTTAAACGTAGGGGGGGGGGGGTAACTAAGTGGAGTTTATTTTAACGGAGGGGGGGGGGAAGGAGGGGGGGGGAGTTATCGTCCTTAACGAGTGTTTTAAAGAAATATTTTCAGTGGCAGCGTTGGTAGTGTCGAATTCACAAATTATGAATAACTGAAAAGTAGAAAATAAAACAACTAAATAGCGGCGTATGATATGCCGCGGGTCGGCTCGTTACTTATAATTAACATGCTTATTTCATATTGTGTTTCTTTCAGACACCTCACCGGGGGGAGGGGTGGGGGTGAAAGCCCAGTTTTTCCGACTCGATTTCGCGTAAAACGCCGAAATTTTTATAAATCTGGATTTGGAATTTTCACACGATCAAAATAAATCCCCTATACTCCGTAAACGATGAAGTAGTGAGGAGTAAAACGGTGGAAACTGTCAAACTTTCAAGTGATTTTTGTGCACGATTACAATACGTTCTATATAATCTGTATAATCTGTACAGAGTTTCTTCCAGGCATCTCTTCGAAGGGCGGTGCCCCCCCCCCCCCCCCCACGAAGAAAGTCTACCGCTGAATCTGTATACGAGAAAGTCAAAAGATTACTACTACATCTTGCTAATCAGTAGACAGCGTTTACACTAGCGACTTGTATACTACACATATCTGGAGAAAAACTCGCAGGAAATAAGTAGGGCCTATACATGTTCCGTGGGGGAAAATCCTTTACACGACTTGTATAGTATACATGTCGCAAGTGTAAACACGTGTAGCTATAAATAAGATTATGAAAGACCTGAGTCCGCAAAGCTAGTTGAGTGGCTTCTCATGTGGATCTGTAAATTAAAAAGTTGACGATGATCCTAATCTGGAGGGCCCAGGACAAATCCATCACGTGACATGTCAGTTTGATAATCTTAATCCTCACTCATCCAACCTAAATAGCTAAATAGATTGTAATAGCCAAAATATTAACCTAAGTGTAACAAACAGTAGCAATCTTGATAGATTGGTTTCTTTTAAGTACAATGTCACTCGCACAAGGTAAATAGAAAAACACAAGCGGTATTACTAAATAACAGAACATCTAGTTCGTACTAGTGCAAAGACTTGAATATTCACCTATACCTTCATATAAAGTAAAGGTAGAGACTTGGTAGGTTCAGAAATATTTTTTTCCTTCCTGAGATCAAGCAATTTAACTGCAGATTTGTCCTGCTTAATTCTACAGAGAATCCTGAACTAAAAGACAATTTATACTTGTTAGCATTCTACAGAGAATTCGAATAAATGCTTGTTAGCAAAAATCTTATTTCCAGCTCCATAACAAAAAAATAAGGGGGGAAAACACCACTAGACCACAAGCCTATGGTTGTGAGAAAAATTAAAACCAGAGCTGCATTTGCCTTATCAAAAATACCAGCCAAACATCTGAAAGAAACTCGTACAAACATTGGTAAAAATTTTATTCAACAACTTGGTAAAAAAGAAAAATTTTCTCCCATGAAATCTCCATCAAATACATGAATATACATTTGTAATGTTTTACAGTAATCTCCCTCGTTAAAAAACAAACCAACATGACACATCTGTTAGACATCTTTTAATTGTTTCGTTACTTGAGAACAGTTCACACAACACACTGACCTGTACAAGTTTTTAAAAAAATTTATTTTACCATTGCAGATATGTGATGAAAGACAATTCTGTATATGCCTTTTATATTTGAGTTGTTCGGCTTTGAATACCCTATGTATATACATGTGACATTAACAAACACTCATCCATACTAATAGTTTTTCTTTCAGAACATAATCAGATTTAATGTTTACAACCATTTGAATTGTTTCACACTTGGTCACACTTTTTAATAATCTTTATATACAAAAACAAATATGAGCTATACTGAAACTAGAAAAATCTCAAATACAAGTCTAGCACTCCTCTGCCTTTAGTTACACATAGCACTAAACTTATTGTATTTTCATTGCACTTGGATGAATCTACTTTTAAAATAAGATGTGCATTAACAGATGAAAATAATGATAAAATTGTTATGACAGTCCTTACAAAAATGTATTCATTTTTATACACATCAAACCCAAACTAAAACTAAAATACATATTAGCTGTGCATCCTTTGTGGTACGGTTGAAGGGGTTTAAATGTACATCATTCATACAGAGATTGGGGGAGGGGGGGGGATTTTTTTTTTATTATTACAAGAATTTACACAACATAATTTTAAATATTAAAATTAGTTTTGTTTAAAAATGTTATGGTTAGTAATTTACACACATTTAACACCTCATCTAAAAAAAAAAATCATTGACGTCAAAGCATTTAGAAAAGTAAAACCCTGCGATCTGGAATGTAGAGTGGTGAAATGAGCTAGAGAGTTAGTTGTCCAGTAGAGTGGTCCTGACAATCATCTCTGTTACACGGTAAGGATCACAGTTAGAGGCAGGTCGTCTATCCTCCAAATAGCCTTTCTTGTCCTCAGCCACTTGACGGGGGATGCGGATACTTGCACCTCTGGTAGGGGTGGGGAGAAGAACAGTGGATATTTAGTTAAGGTCTTTCATTAACTATAACATTTGTCAATAACAATAGACATCATTTAAAACTTATTATTTAAAGCAAAAATAGAGAAGAAAAAAATTTCTTAGGATTGAATTTAAGTTTTTAGTTAAGCCTAGGTTTTTAAAAATATATCAAATAAATTGATTAAGGGCTGATTAAGAATAAGTAATATAAGATGGCATGGCCTGGCAGTAGAAAGCTTGACTGCTAACCCGGAAGTCCCAACTTCAAATCCGGGTTTATGTCAGTAGAATGCCCCCCCTTAGTCCACCAAGCTCTGATGAGTACCTAACTCAGGTCAGGAAAAGCAAAGGTGGCTGGGCATAGTGCTGACTACACTATCCTTTTCTATGCCAAGGTCTCTGAAACAAACTCTACTTCATCTGCCCCATGTGTCTTGGGCACGAAAAGATGATGATGTATAAGTAAAGGTACCCTCACATGTTACTGAGCACTTTGAATATATTATAAAGAGATAATGTGGTCAATTCTAGACCCAGCCGCCTAAACTTTCCCCCAACATGAGTAAGGTACACAGAGTTGAGTGGACACATTCTACACCTAGACCTCACCTTCCCACTAAGTAAATTATTCCAGAAATAATCCTATTACATAATCCTTCTAGCCACACTACTAAGACACTAATCCCTGTAAGATACCCAAAAGTAAAAACTTGACAAAGAAACAGCTTTAAACTACCACAATACAGAGCTAAATAATAAATAATTCACCTGTTGGCAACACCTGCGGAGAACTCGTAGATGCTGGAGGTTTCATGTGCACCAGTTAACCTCCTCTGATTGTCCAGGCCATTCTTAGGGTCGTAGGCTTCAATGTGTTCCTTCTGTTTCTTGCTCAGTTTCTCTATGGCTTTCTCAATCTCACTGAAAAAAAAATAGGTTTTTTAATTAAATTCCTAAACTAGATATGCTTTACCAAGTCAAATACATCATTAGTAACAGGAATTCAGAGACTATCAATGAGTGGTAGAGCTGCCAAGTCTCAAGTTTAGTTTACTCTAGTAAGAAGGCTGGACATTTTTAACATTTGTGGCAACAGATGAACTGTATTTGGACTACATGATCTGGAACTGTTTATAAATGGGCGCCTTAGAATTTATTTTTTAGTAATTCATTCAAGGGAAGTAATCTGTGTATTAAGTTTTCTAAACTTTATTAGATGAGTGACCTCCCCTTTTATAAAATGTTGCAGTCTCCCCACAGCTAAATTATTACACCACATAAAAGAAATATTGTGTTGTTATTCAGCAAAAGAATAACCCATAAATAAAGTAAATATTGTGTTGTTACTAAACTACCCAGAAATAAAACAATGTGTTGCTACTAAGCACCTAAACTACCCAGATATAAAACAATGTGTTGGTACTAAACTTACTCAATGCCACCATCCTTCCTCATTGGCTCTGTGCTGTAGTTGCAGTGGGCGCCAGCACCATTCCAGTTCCCAGTCATGGGCTTGGGGTCAAAGGTGACAACAATGCCAAACTCTTCGGCCACCCTGTTGAGGATGTACCTGGCCACCCAGAGCTCATCCCCCATTGAGATTCCCTCACAGGGTCCAACTTGGAACTCCCACTGTGGACAAATGGGTCAATCTATTTTTAACTTTCTATTTTTAGAACACTAAAGAAAGTGTTAGATGGGTAGTAAATATATGCAAAATAAAAAATTTTAATTTGGGAAAACTTGTAATGTATGTTAATCAGAAGAGAATGATTTGTCTGTGACTTTTAGATAGAAATTACTAATAAATCAGAAATTTTATAATAAAATAAAATTTTATTGTTATCACAAGGGATTTTTTTTTATCAAATGGGCCCAACTGAAGATAAGTGTTCAAATCAGAGTCCTTTGCAGGTGTGTAAATGTAGCACATTGCATCCCAGATACTCCACAATATTAAGTTAAGTAAGTCATACTGGATTTTTTATTCAATGTAAGCACTGATGTAATAAATTTTTATAAATAAATTTTCAAGAAATCGCTAGTAGAGTTTATGTAAAATGAGGAAAACAAAATGTACCTGGGAAGGCATGACTTCAGCATTGATCCCACAAATCTTGATGCCAGCATACAAGCAAGCCCTGTAGTGGGCCTCTACAACATCACGACCATAGACCTTGTTGGCACCAACACCACAGTAGTATGGGCCTGGTGACAGAAGACAACACATTAGTAGAGGATTTTTATTTGAGATGGTTTTTTTGTACTCTTTAAACTTTAACAACACTAAGAAGGGTTGCTTCTAAAACAGGATAAACAGGGATCAATTGAAATCAACCATCAGTGGACAGTGTTGAAGCTGTGAAAGCGCCTTGCAAACCCAACTCATAACAGACAAATGGAGAAGAGCTTATCTTTGCCTCTGGTATATGAATGAATTTTGGTGTCAGCTCTATACACAAGGGAAGTTTTACTTTTCCAGACTCATGTACCAACCAAAAGTGAATGGAATTGTGGACGTCCATGATCCGAACTTAAGCCTATAGTTTAAAAATTAAATGTTCTACCCTTCTAGCTTGTCATCCGTTAGCATGGCAAGCAAGCTAGTGATATCCAAACATTTTTTTTGCCTGAAGAATTAAGACAACAAAATCCATCCAACTTGGCCAAGTAATTTAGTGGGCAAGGCAAGTGACCAAGCATTGTCCTAGTCAGATAATCCTTTCATGTTCTAAGTCAACAATAATAGAAAAACTTTTCAACTGGTCAATGCATTCAGGATCAATGACCTTTTCTTATATATTTTAAGGCTGTAGTCTTTTATAATCTAATTCAAATCTAACCTATTAATGATTGTGGTTTAATGATAATTAATAATCACCTTGGGGTCCAGGGTAACCATTCTTGGGCCAGCCAAGTGGGTAGCCATCATAATCTAATAAAGAATATTCCTGCTCAATGCCAAACCAAGGGTGAGCATCTTTGGCCTGCTCCATGGCCTCTGCACATGTTTTCCTTCTGTTGCTTTCTGCAAGTGGGAATAAAATGTTCAGCAATTAGTCTTAGTCCCCCTTCATACCGAGGATCTTATTATACTTGGGTTTGGGTTAGTATTAAGTAGAGCAATACTTATGCGCCTTAAAAAAAATTTTATGAGCATCTTATTATACTTATAGGGATGGAATGGTCTAGCGGTAGAAAGCTGGACTGCTAACCCATAAGTCTCGAGTTCGAATCTGGGTAAGTCAGTAGACCGTCAATGAGTCAACCCAACTCTGATGGGTACCTAATTCATGTTAGGGAGAGTAAAGGTGGCTGGGCATAGTGCTGACCACACTATCTCTTCATATGACGATGTCAGAGAAACAAGTTAACTCTACTTCACTTGCCCCATAGACCGTTAGGTGCATAAGTATTGCTCTACTTAATATTAACATTATTCTTTTTTAAGAAGCTTAAACTTGGTCCACTTTATTATAAAGACCTAGCTTATTCAAACACTGCTAACCCATCTACCACATCATGGGCATAAAGAAGCTTTTAGGTCAACTCTACTCTGCCTCCCCTATCCCTTATACATAACTGTGTTCAGTTACATAAAACATAAGTGTTAAAAATAATTACTTAATATACTATACTAGATCTTAATACAAAATCAAAAAGCTAAAACGAAAAGAGGTAAAATAATATTTACTTCATAAAATTAAGCTTTCAATAGAAGTAAAAATAAACATCAGAACAGTAAAATAAAAACTGCAATAGGAGATGCCAACAAATATTTACAAAACGCATCAATTTTTTTTTCTTCTCTTTAACGTCTTATATTATTCAATGCTAAAATATGTGATCTAAACAAAATACACCCCTGTGTATCTGAACATTCAGGATCTTGCCTGCACTCTAGCATAGTGGGTCAGGTAAACAGTAAATGAATTGCACTCAGTATACACAGGGTTCAAAGGTTACACAGGGGTTCAAAGGTTACACAGCAGATTGATATAGCCCTATGTAGCTGGTTGAAAACAATTTTTTGTGGTGAGATATGCTTTGATTTGTACAAGGCTCTCAATAGAGGCATTGGGGGGGGGGGGGGGGGGGGGGCAACATTGCAAGATAAAAATTCAATATTGAGTTCAAAGTGCTAAGACAACAAGTGGTAAGGTAATTAAATGTGATCAAATACTTTTGATTCTACTTGTTGATATTAATGTGACAGTGGGTCAGCTAAATATCAATATTTCAATTGTTGCAACGTAGCATGTTCTTCTAAACAATAAACGTGAGTGTAGATTTACTAAATAAAATCATGGATAAAAACAGAAAATTTTCATTTAAAAGACAATACCGTAATGTTAAAAGATCATGTTTTTTAAACAGATTACATTATTTTAAAGCGAACACACTTTTTTTTAAAAATATGCTTTTTTTTTAAAATAGAAATCACTAATGTGTATGTTCAAAAGAAAAATATACACTGACAATTGCAGACTAAATTTTAGAATTTAAAATATTGAAAATTTTCAAGACAGTTCTCTAAGGGTAGGTAACTCACCAACTGGGTCCTTGTTATACTTGTAGACATCACAAAGTAGGAGCTTGTTGTCGCCTCCCCTGAAGGGGTCCTTAAAGAGGGCAACTGGATACAGATAGAGGTCAGAGTTGGAGCCTTCAGACTGTTGGGTGCTGGAACCATCAAAGTTCCACACTGGGCACTCTGGGATAACAAATGTTAAAATATGTATGCAAGGTGTACTCATGAATACAAAACTCTAGTATGGTTACTCTGACATTTTAGATGAATTTTTTATACCAGTGTTCGATTATAAAATCTTTTTTAAAAAAAAGAGGGGGGTATTAGTATTAAATTACTGGTAGTTAAGTATATTATGAATGACATTTGTCTTGCTAATGTCAATGCTATCCTCAACCCATGTCCATTTCTACCATACGCCAAACCCAAACTAATTTCTAACCCATAAAACTAAAACTAGATCTAGTCCAGATTACTAGAGCTAGATTAGAATGCTCATCAACTCATCATTCCAGTGGCGTAAGCAGGGGGGTTAGGGAGGAGGGGTTATAATTAATATGGAAAAATGAACCCCTCCCATGACCAATTCCTGGCTACGCCACTGCATCATTTTACTAACAACAATACACCTATTTATCTCAAAAGTTTATTATCGGACTTCCTCAACCATCCAACTTTTCATGATTTAATAAATAATGATTTTTTTTTTCATCAGCAGAAAATAAACATCGTTTAGCAAGTACAGCTAAGTAAATAGATAGAATCTAGGCCTAGATTACAGTTGTTGACATAAAAATCTAGTGGAGATCCGTCTGCTCAAGTAGCACAATTAATTATTGACTACTTTTTCCTTATTCCAAAACATCACGTGAGCTGTATTCACAACAACAAGATTTGTTTTGCATGAGGGTTAGGCCCCCTAGTTTTCACGTGATGTTATTCGGCCATTACAAAACAAAAGAGGCTATAGACATGATAATATTCGGCCATTACAAAACAAACGAGGCCATAGACCAGTAATGTTGAGTTACATTCGTGTGTTTTTGATATCAAGGGAAAATAGGTCAGGTGACCTATTTTAAAAGTGGTTTCTACGTCAACAAGATGCTAGTGCCAGTCAACAAGGGAACTGTCAACATAACTCACGTTCTCTGCTCTTTGGAGAGCTCCTCGAAAAGGGGGGAGGGTGGGATTTGGTGAGGTTAGGGGTCATCCATAAATGATGTCACGCTTTTTTGACGATTTTTACCTCCCCCTCCCCTCCGTCACACGTCACAAAAAGCCAGACCCCACCCCCCCCCCCTCTAAAATGACGTCACACCTCAGCCTAAGACCCCCCTCAAAATTGCTGTTGAATTTTTCTTAAAACATCGATATTTTTCCGAAATCTTGTCAGAACTCTGTCAACAGAGTATTTTGGTCAATTTCTATTACAATTTATTAAAAACGTTTTGTAAAAAACGAAATAAAGGCTAAAACCTTTAAAGGCTGAACCCCCCCCCCCCCTCATCACACACCGTCACAAAATTACGGACCCCCCCCCCTTCCCCTACGAGTGTGACGTCATTTATGTACGACCCCTTACCCAAATGACATGTTTCATCTCGAAGGATACCTACTCCCTATCGTCACAACTGACAAACTCCCACTCACTGAAATCACGTGACAAATCATTGACTTGCCTCCCCCCTTCCTCCACCCCCCCCCACCCCCCCCCCCCAAAATACACCAATCTCGATAATTCTAAATATATACTACCTTACATTTCTCAAACACCCCCCCCCCTCTGTCTTTATCTATTTACTTTTCATCTTAATGTAGTTTGACAATATAAACTAAAAAACAACCCACATTCACCTCCCACGTGATATGTGACGTAATTTGATCACAACCCCCTCTCCTGGTATCTTCTGAAACTGCACACTTCAACATACCCGGATGTAACCAAATCTGTGTTCGCCACATACATGCAAAACAATAGCACCCAAATTAACATACCTTTCTGTTTTTTTTAACATATCCCCCATAACTAGCTTTACGGATGTGTATTGGTGTAAGCTAGGCAATAACAGGAAACGACATTGTTGACGCAAGCTTGTGAAAAATGCCGGTCATTTAAACGCAGGCAGCCGGCAAGTCGTATTACCTCGTACCCTAGCAAAAATGTTACTTGTGTATCTACCCAAGTCCTAGCCTCAATAACGATATACAGGCAAGATAAAACAAATTCTATTACCTTAACAGCATTGTACAACGTTAGCCTTACAAATAGTGCATATTGACACTTTTATATACGAACTGACATTTAGTTATTGCTATTCTTATAAGTCGGCTATGGTAAAATACAGATCAAGTTCGAGAAATCGGAAATTTCATTTGCAGGGAAATCTAAATATAGAAGCACATAAAAAATCCCCCGACGCTATTTTGCGTACAACGTCACACATTTCCGTGTGTACCTGACGACCCACATGAACCAGAGGTCAAAACTATATTCACAGCCCCATAAAGTTTACTGCAGTTCCAACACGTTGAAGTCACTTCAAGCAAAACGAGTTTGACCCCTGGCTGACCCACGCGTAGGTGTAACCCCACAAAGGGGGGGGGGGGGGGGTCACCAGGGTGTGTTCTAGAATTTATTCCAGGTTGTCTGACCTTTATTTACCTGTCGTGGTCGTCCAGCGTTACACGTGTCTAGTGACAGAGGGGGGGAGGCGTAGCGACGGGGGAGGAGGGGGTACATTCGTGTTGCTAACTTGCTAACTATAATAGGTAAAGTATATAATCAAGGGGGGTGGGGGGGGGTACATTCGTGTTGCTAACTTCCCAACTATAATTAAGTAAAGTATCTAATCAAAAAAAGGGGGGGGGGGGGGTGACCCTCGAATTACAAACTTGCTAATTATAATTAAAGAAAGTATCTAATCAGCATAAATATGTAAAGATATGCATGACAAGATTGGGTTTTTTTTTTGTGATTGACGTTTCTGACAAAATTTCTTGGATTTTTCTATCTCAAATTTTAACGACCGTGTTTAGTGGGTGTGAGAAATGACGCATCTTTTATCTTATAATCTGATCAGGTGTAACAATATTTAAGATAACACCGCAGATATCCATTTCAACGAGGTGTTAAAAAGATACCATCACACAAAAAATTCAACATCGTTTGTTATCTAGAGTCACATGGTTAACGCCCACCAAAAGCAGATACTAAACGATAAAAGCAGGCGATTAAAAATGATAGCGAAAAGTGTCGACTAAAGGAATGTTAATTTCTGAACTCTAATCTCTATTGTGTCTGAATGATGATCTAAAGTCTATAGTGTCAGAATCAGACGCGATGATTTTATTTGACCGCCTCGCTGTTTTCTAAAGGTAAGCCTCGTAGGGCTTGGTTTCTTTCATGCCCCCCCCCCCCCCCCTCACGAGCATGTCCATCGTCGTCCCCCCCCCCCCCAACCACACACACGGCGAAAAACGAAATAAATATATACTTTATATATTAAATTTATACTGTTACTAATGTCGCCCCCCGTCCCTCGCCACCCCAGAGACAAATATCTGAAAGAAACTATGCGGTAGGGCAATACAGTCTGTTTAGTATTATGGTTTTACTGTATCGTGTTTACGATTATGGATAAAGTAAGCCCCCCCCCCCCCGAACTAAATAAAATTAATATAAGAAATATATACCTTTACCAGTATCCGCCCCCCCGCCCCCCCCCCCCAATCAAGAGGAAAATTCTGAAAGAAACACTGGTAAGGACCGGGGTAGCAATACGCACATACACACAAAAACGCTTCGACACATCCCTAAACAATGTTCCCTTTAACCCCTAAACAATGTTCCCTTTAACCCGGTAATTCCGGTAATGTTTCCTTTAAGCTGCGTGACCGTGCGGTGCTTTTAAACCTGCCGCGCAGTAATGTAGTAACGTAAAAGTTACACATATTTTAGAACAGCACGCACATTTAATACAAGATACGCAAATGCTTCTGCTCCTTAAAAGTGGAGGCTGCCTACTGCCTAAGGCCATTAATATCGATAAAGACAGTCAATAATTTAATGCGAGTCATTAACATTATTCAGAATCATTATGTTCCTGTGATATACCCCTCCCCTCTGCCACACCTTTCCATATAAGCAGCGTTTATAACAGTCCACGCTGTCATGCGACGGGCGCCCTAGATTTACATATAGTTCAAAGTTCAAGGCCTTTGACCTAGAGGCTGATACCACCATTGGTTTGTACCGGTGTCAACTCTAAACCAAGGGAAATAACTCCATAACTCCTGTTTGTCACTGCTGGTCCAAAGGTTGCCAGCTGATTACCTAACCGAGTTTTGGCTCAAATCGGTGGCACGGCCGATAACCCGACCTATCTGATAATCTTATTTAACACTATAGGGCGTCAGTGATTAACAGATTAGGAAATTTACAGCACTATTATTTTTTGTGTGCACAGATATGAGTAATAGGTGGCGTTTTCATATCACGTGATTTGGCCGTGCGACTAACGACCCTGTAGGTAGTTGATCACAACAGCTAATTAAATATGACTGGCAAGAGTTACCATTTAAATTAATTAACCACGAGTGAAGACGTGCGTTAATTAGTGCTGATAATTAAAATTATATCACGGTCTAAAATTGTCTTTTCAGCAATTATTGACAATGATTGGGGTCAAAGGTTATTAACCAGAAAATAAAAACAGACCTGAATGTGGGAGTCAAATGTAGATAGCACAATTAAAATGGTGGGAGAGGGGGGGTCTATAAAGATTTAAAGTTAAAATTTTGAACTAAATTTTACTTTCAACAAAAAATTCAAACCATTAGCCCCCTCCCACATTTAGGTATGGTAAGAAAAATGGCTAATTACCTTTAGGTTCCTTGGGGACAAAGTTCAAGGTCCTTCCCTTAGCTCTGATCCCCTCCCCAGAGCCATCTATCCAGATGTATTCCACCTGGCAGGCGTCCTTGGGCTGTTCGAGCTGAAGAAATCTGTCCAAAACTGCTTTGTTTGTGTTGACTGGGTGTGCTTTGGTTGCCTGGGGTAAACAAGACAGGTTGTTAATTACAAAATAGTTTTGGTTGCCTGGGGTAAACAAGACAGGTTGTTAATTACAAAATAGTTTTGGTTGCCTGGGGTAAACAAGACAGGTTGTTAATTACAAAATAGTTTTGTTTGCCTGGGGTAAACAAGACAGGTTGTTAATTACAAAATAGTTTTGTTTGCCTGGGGTAAACAAGACAGGTTGTTAATTACAAAATAGTTTAGTGGCCTGGGTTAAACAAGACAGGTTGTTAAATGTTAATTACAAAATAGTTTAGTGGCCTGGGTTAAACAAGACAGGTTGTTAAATGTTAATTACAAAATAGTTTAGTGGCCTGGGTTAAACAAGACAGGTTGTTAAATGTTAATTACAAAATAGTTTAGTGGCCTGGGTTAAACAAGACAGGTTGTTAAATGTTAATTACAAAATAGTTTAGTGGCCTGGGTTAAACAAGACAGGTTGTTAAATGTTAATTACAAAATAGTTTAGTGGCCTGGGTTAAACAAGACAGGTTGTTAAATGTTAATTACAAAATAGTTTTGGTTGCCTGGGGTAAACAAGACAGGTTGTTAATTACAAAATAGTTTTATGACCTAGGGTAAAACTAACAGGTTGTTAATTACAAAATAGTTTTTGGTTGCCTGGGGTAAACAAGACAGGTTGTTAATTACAAAATAGTTTTGGGGCCTAGGGTCGAAAAAATGTATTGATACACCAACGTGTTAATTACACTAAATTACAGACATCACTACATGAGCAAGAAATAATACACCACAGGATTCTGGACATTTTTTTAGCTCTCACTACATGAATATAATCGTATGTAAACACATTCCTTTCCTTGAGCGTAGAAATATCTTTGTCGGTGACAAAAATCATGCTTTAATATACAAGAAAAGTAGAAGAAAAAAGTGTTCTTTAATTTCCTGAATTCCAAATATTAAATTTCACATCTACCCGTAGCCAAATAGGCTTAAATGTTTATACTTGTAAAATCCCACTGCGTAAACCCTATACATTTTTTTTTAATTTTTAAGTCAAATAGTTTAGCAAATTAAATAATAGTTCTTTCACGGGAGTCAGAATAGGTAATCTATATCAGTAAATCTAAATACATTAAATAGGGTTTTTCTGTGAGAGATTGGCTCTCTGTAATTGAGTTACAGTTTTACAAATCAAATAAATCAGAGACAATAACAACGTGAAGAAATTTTGTATATTATAAAAATTATTTTAAAAATAAATGTTTCGAAGTTTGCTAGTAAAATTTAAAATATTTGGAAAAGTTGGAATTATTCCTACCATGTTCGCTGTGTTTAATTCCGTCACAAAAAAAAAACTTCTCACTGTTATATCGCGCGCTAATCGGCAGGTCTGAACAGATGAGAGCCTGCAGACGACTTATATACCAAACGATCAAACTTTTTTTTTTTGTTTACCATGCGTCTTATGATCCGATTAACAATCAGCTGAGCGACGACCTTGACACCAGATAAAATTCGTTCATCAGTACCCCCCTCCACCCTACCTCTCGCTACAAGACGGGGTAAGCGAACGTGATTATCCCGTTATTTAAAACCTACTGACTTCTCAAACGTTCGTGCGAGTAAAATCGGTGTACGAGTTTCGTGGAGGTAAAGGGAAAAACAAATGTTAAATTTGTTTTCGAGCATTTTTTTATATACTATACTAGGCGCCTAGTTCCTCACAAGGTGAATAAACGGGAATTTCCGTTCGTATTTTTAGTCACTCGCTTTTCCACAAACTAGGTTTCTACGCCTCGTTGTGAGCGAACGTAACAATTAGTTAGTTCCATTACGTGCTATTTAACCCAAGCTGTCATGTGCGGACTTACAAGAAAACAACTGTGTTTTATAAAATTAAAATGGGGAAACGAGGAATTGTGTCAACGTTTGTGTTAGGGTTAAACTTAACTAGGCCGAATTGGTGTGTATTTTTTTATCCGTCACAACCACGTGGAATATGAGCAGCCATGATAGTAAGAAAACAAATTGAAAATGTAAACACGTCAATTAATCTACAGTATTATCGTGGTATTGACACAGTGAATACTGAATAGTTGTCATAATGCATTCCATGTGTGGAAAATCAACAACATTCCCAGACTGACTAGCGTACAAAGATAATAGACAAGAACGTTAACATTACCAAGCCCACACAACATGCCGTTAAGTCTACCAAGCCCCCACACACATTTGGATGTTAAGTTTACCACACCCCCACTGGGATGTTAAGTTTACCACACCCCCACTGGGATGTTAAGTTTACCACGCCCCCACACACACAATGGGATGTTAAGTTTACCACGCCCCCACACACACAATGGGATGTTAAGTTTACCACGCCCCCACACACACAATGGGATGTTAAGTTTACCACGCCCCCACACACACAATGAGATGTTAAGTTTACCAAGCCCCCACATACACTAGGACATAAAGTTTACCAAGCCCCACACACACTGGGATGTTAAGTTTACCAAGCCCCCACACACACTAGGACGTAAAGTTTACCAAGCCCCCCCCCCCCACGGGATGTTAAGTTTACCAAACCCCGCACCCCCCCCCCCCCCACACACACACATACCAGGCCGTTAAGCTTTACCATTTTCCCATTCGCCAAGACTAAGTCTTTAAGCCTACTAAGTACTAAGCTCCACTGAACCATAACATTATAATTACCCAGTGTGTTGTGTGTAAAAAAGTATTTGAACCTTTTGTTCCAACCACGCTACATGTGTGTGGGGGAGAAAGTGTTCGACCCTTCTCTTCCCGCACAGCTCTGTGCGAGCGGGCAAAAAATCTATGCACAACCGCCATACACCCCACCCACCAGTCCCCCATAGACGACGCTACAGTAACTTTCCACCGAGGTCAGAACGGAACAACCCAGCGGTCAACGGCCCCATTTCTAGCATGTTTATTGGCGGTCACCGGATCAAGACTGCATGTTGATATCTTCTGATTTTGTTTTTTATCTTAGGACTAACTTGGTGTGAGGGGGTTTTGAATAAATTTTATTTCAGAAGAGAGAGCACTTAAATTAGTGTCCGCTTCCTTCTCCCCCCCCCCCCAGGATAATGTCTGAAAAGAATATCAGGCATCTCTTACCGGCTATCGAACGAAACATAAATGACATAATTGATATGGGGTCATCCATTTATGACGTCCACACGCGGGGAGGTGGGGGGTGGGGGTTGTCCGACAAAAACTGACTTTTCTGGACGCATATAGACTTTTATAAGGAAAAATGTGGATTTTTGTGGACGGGGGGGGGGGGGGCAAAATCCAAAAAAAATTGTGGACGTCATAAATGGATGACCCCAATAAGCATATATTCTCCTCAGAGGCGTAGCGAGGGGGGGTACATATGTCCCCGGCGCCGACCTTGGGGGCGCCAAAATGGGTTGGGAAAACAAATTATGAATAGTTTGAGGGGGGTGCAAAACGAAAGTTTGAGGGGGTGCAAATCGAAAGTTTGGGGTGGGGGTGCACATTGAAAATTTGCTCCCGAGGAGGGCGCCAAATTGAAAGTTTTTCCCCGGGCGCCGGAAAGGGTCGCTACGCCTCTGATTCTCCTTCCCCCACACCCACACCGGAAAATCCAATCCGCTCCCCTCGGAGAAATAAAGTCTGTGAAACAAACTTTGATATCAGATTTATAGATTAAGTCAGATAAAAGTAGTGAACTGTAGTGACGATTTTTTTTTTAATTTAAAAGGAAATTCCTGTTCCAATTTTGTAATAACATTGTGTTATCAATTCAGACGACTCGATAAAAAATGACGTTAATGAAATCCGGTTATGAGTCAACACGAAAACATACATGGCATGTCTGAGATTAGCCAGGTGGCCAGGAAAAATAATTAAAAAATTCTCTTACCATCTTTAGTCAGAGCAGACGATATATCCCGATAACCAGGTGATTTCCTGTGGTCAGCTGACGACCCAGAATATTTTGTTGTTTGTTTTTATCTCCGTCCACGCGCTCGTGACGTCAAATCTCGACCGTTAAATCAGAGTTAAAGTAGGTCACTCCTGAAGGGGGGAAATAAAGCTCAATTTACAACTTCTAGATCTAGTAAAACATGCGTGTTGATTGTTTTTGTGTGGTTTTTTTAGGGGGGGGGGGGGGTCTGTGTAACCCGGCACATGACTCGAGTCGAACCTCTGTCAACATTATAAAACATCTCTTGTCGCAGAAAACATTTCTCTTCACAAACCTTGTAAATGGGTTACAGAACTGAATCGTTATAAATATGTTTTTAAAAGTACCTACAGATTATCAAGACATTTTGTGTGTGTATACTACATCTAGTAAAGTTATGTAAATGTGTTTAGTTTAGGCTACTTTCAACTTTCTAGTTCTAGTCAACCCAGATACAGGGTAAAGGAAAACGGGAACTTTAACCACTAAATTACTTGTTAGGGCCTAACTATTTTTTAATTAATTTATTCTAACTGTATGATTTGCTCGTTCACACTGAACTACATTCTAGGTATATTTATTAATCTAATTCTAATCTAGTTTAGATCAAAATCTAGTTAAAACTACCAACTCTCGGTAAATTGCATTTTTAGGGCCAAAACTTAAAAATATTTATGAGGCCTAAAGTCAGAATAAAAAAAAATAATCTAGTCTAGATTTTCTAGATCTAGAATCTAGATCTAGTCTAGATTCTAGTTGTGAATTACACACTTGGCCTAGATCTAAATAAATTTTATTCTTCTTTGTGATGGCTAAGAACAGTTGTAGAAGTAGATTTAGATCTTGACTAGAGATTTAGATACAAATCTGTACTTTGAATTATGATATTGGG